TTGCGAAGCGCGTGCGGACGAGCGCCTGAGTGGACGTCCGCCGAGTGGCTCAAGATCCTCTGGCACCCGAGCGGCTTCAAAGATCCCAGCGCCCGTCGGGTGTCGCTGTGCCTCGAAACCGACGAGGGCACCAGAGCGCACTTCCGCAGCGTCGAGGAGCGCCTCGTTCGGAGTTTGGCGGCTCTGGCGCTGAAGGATACCAGGCTTTTCGGTAAGCTCCAGACGGAGTCGGAGCTCAAGGAGCGATTCCTGTCGTGCTTGAAGGCGAACGCGCGGAGCGAAGCTTTTCTGAAAACCAAGATGGACTGGGATAGGCTGCGACTCTGGGGTCCGAAGGGCGAGGTGCTCAAGGAACCCGGCGAGCTTGCGGGTCGGGAGTGCAAGGTGAGGTGCGAGCTCCGACAGGTCTGGCTGATGACGGGGCAGTGTGGCCTCTTGGTCGAAGTTACCGATCTCATGCTGAAGGATTCCGGCAACGAGCGGTGTCCATTTTCGAACCTTGCCTCGGACTGATTCTGCACGAAAGCGAAGATTAGGCGGCTAAGATTGGGTCCATATAAACGCCGTACCGCGCCCCAATTTTCTGCCTTTTTGGCGCTGAGGGTAGATTGGCGGCGTCCCTGTGGCTAGTTTAGGATGCCGTTCTCACCAGATGCTCGGTGCTGCTCGCTTTTGCTCACTGATGCCATTTTGTTGTATTTTGTAACGGTATTCTAGTTAGGCTGGCCGACTTTTGCGGTAACATTTTTGCTAGAGTGCTTTTGCAGCACCCTAACCCCTTCAGCCCTTGCAGTAGGTTGCTTCCACCATTGCCCTGTGAGTGTTTTTGCGCATCCCTAACCCATAGGACCTTCTACCATAATACCCCAGCGTTGCTTTTTGCTGAAGTTGTGCTTCCCGTGCTGCGGTTCCTCCAGGTAGGACCGACAGCATGAATCATGAACATGGTCGCTAAGCAGCAAGGCAGCACGAAGGTGCCGCGCTCATAGCAGCACCGACACAGCCGCACGATGCATACACACGTAACGCGTAGCAGCCCTAGCAGCTTGGACACAGCACACACACACACACACACACACGCGTAGCAGCGCTGTAGTGGCTGGGCCGGACGGGCTGGGACGGGACTGGTGGGAGCCTCAGATCGCTCGTGGACAGACGTAGGAGTGCCCGTAGGATGGTAGGGTCTCAAGTCGTCGTCGGAGTGCTGCGAGTCTGCGAGCGTGCCGTAGGTGTGCTTGTAAGACTTTGTTGCTTTGGCCGCTGCCCAGGCCCAGACCTTCATCTGCAGAGCCGCTTCCCTCAGAGCGCTGGTCGGTTGCCGTAGGTTGCTGTAGGACCTTGCAGGAGTGTTGGCAATCGGTAGGGCTGGTAGGATGCGTTGCGGTAGGGGGGTTTGCGTAGGAGTGTTGGTAGGTTGGCACTCGAGTGCTGCCCAGGTCAGAACCTTCTTCCTTCCGCGCGCTGATGCTCAGAGGGCGTTCAGGGTTTTGTTCGGATGTTGGGGTTTGGGTGAGGGTACGTTTGCGAGTTTTAGCGTTGGCAGGAATGCTGACCTGGAGGAGCACTTCTAGTCGTAGGATGTTGTGCCTCTCGCCCGTAGCCTCGGGTAGTTCCCTGTACCCTCCGTAGTAGCCCCGTAGCCCCTGTAGTAGCCCCGTAGTTTCCCGTAGCCCTCTCGTGCTTCGCAGGTGGAACTTGTCGCTCGGCGCCGATCCTCAGAAAGGTTTGTTTTTCGAAGGTTCGGGGTGTGAGGTTCTTGTTGCCTGACTGGCTCGCAGGAGTTCCCACGCGTCCCTCGTAGGCCGCCCCTCCCGAAAAGGTAGAGGGCCAAGCAAGCCGTGAACCAGGTGCGCCCGGATCGTCATCAGAACTCACAGCGCGTAGCACACGGGCGTGCTGGGCTCACGGACCGGGATTGGTTGGAGTTGTAAACATGGCTTGCCGAGTTGTACGCGTAGCAGCTTTGACAAGGCCGCGGTGGGTTTGCGGCAAGCTTTCGCGCAAGCGTGGTTGAAGCCTCAGTGTTGCCCGCAGATTCTATTGCGCTTCATCTTTCTTTCAGATTAACCAAGTGTTGTCGCGCAGCCATGTCAGCCGGGACTGCCTTTCCATGCTTTGAGAACGCGTCATAAACAAGTCCGGCAATGCAAGGCTTCGACGCAGGCACCTGAAAGCACGCCCCACGACAGTTCTCCACATCTTGAGACGCCATGGGCCCGTCCGATGACAAGTCCCCGGTGCAGAGCGTCCAAGAACTTCTTGGGGTGATCAGAACTGGTCTGGGCACTGCTCTGGATCTCAAGTCGTTGTTTGGTCTAGGGGTTGTGGGCCTGGCTGCCGCAACCGCGAGGCATAACCAGAGCGTGAGGCCCGTGGTTCGACTCTATGACCGACTCCTTGAAGAAGCAGGGCCTCTAGTAGGCGCTCGGGTGAAGATGACCACGGATCCCTACCGTGCCTTGCACCAACAGAAAGCCCTGATCTTGCAGGGCCGCAACAAGGAGGGCAAGACAACCCTTCTCTGCACGGCCCTGCCATGGTACCATCGGCGAGGCCCATGGGCCTACTACGGCCTGTACTTCAACGGCGGGCACGGCAAGGCCGTCAGCAACTTCGAAAAGTGGCACACCGTCCAGCTCTTCGGCAACCTGAACATGGGTGGCTCGGAGACCCAGTACGCCGTCA